AATTGATGGAGTGGATGCGCTTCATTCAGAAGAGGTTGGGATTAAATAGACATACGACGTATATGGCTAAACAATTATTATATGCGACAATAGGCTAGTAGACATTCAACATCGAACACCAGAAGAGAACAGTGTGAAAGAGCGATTTTTGGTGCAATTATCTCAATTGCAGCAGACGACAAACGAATTGGTTGATCACACGAATTTTAAGCAGCAATTGGTGGCGTGTAAGAGGGAGATGGCAGAACAAGGTCAAAAATTGTTGGAACAAGATCGGGTGAATAGGGCCACCAAAGAAGCCAATTCGAGACTAGAGCATGCCCTTGGAGTAAAACAGCAAGCGTGGAAAAAGGAAAGAGAGCGACTTCACCAAGGAATGGCGCATCAGAAACAAGAACTCTCCAATTCTCTCAATCAATCGAAACTGGAAGTTGAGAAAATGAAGTAACAATTGGAATTGAACCAGACGAAGATGGCGACTTTGGAACAGGAAAAGAAGATGATGAGTGACCAATTCAGAGTGAAAACAGAGGAAATGCAAGGAGAGATCAACACTCTGAAGGAAGTTACAAAGAAATAAGAGGAAGAATTGGTCAGCGTTCGACGGCCACAAGGGTCAATTGAAGGTTCAATTGGTGAATTGGAACAAAAGGTGAAGCAACAACAATACCAATTAGAGGCGAAAGACACCCAAATTCTGCAATTGGAAAGTCAAGTCCGTGAATTGGAAGCACTTAATGAAGATTTAACGGCCAAATTGAACATAGTATTAATAAATATATCAGACGGGAAAGACGAAGAAGTGACTTTAGAATTGTAATCAGTAGCTATGAGTATGGGCAATGCTAAGGAGTCATCAGTTCTTGTTTCGAACTGGTTGTTTGCGAGGACGCTACACAGTTAGGAGTGGGGCTATGTAGAATAAGTAGTTATTTGATGATTTATAGATACTTAGTTTATAGTGTAAACAGGGATAGATGACTATTGGAAAAGTAGTTCAGTAGTTAAAATAGATGAATAGTTAGGAAAAGCAATTTTCATTAGAGATGTAGCAGTTGGTATCTCGTGGTAGGATAAGGAGGGTGAGAGAGAGGAAGAAACGGCCATTACTGTGATAGTGTGAGCCGGGGTAAGCTTGGTGCTACCTCTTTTCTTTTGTTGTTATGTTCTTTGAAATAAGAGTATTGAGAGTTTCTGAATATTGTGAAGTGAATCATGGAATGAAAGTGTGATTGGAATTATATGTTATTGAATGAGAAGAAGAGAGATTGAATGTTGAAATTTGAATGTAGTTCAGCAGAAAGAGTGAATCTGTGGTTGTGTGAAACACTATAATATGAATGGTAGTTCTGTGTGAAGAATTCCAGTAATTGGAATGAGGATAATTGTGTGCTGAAGCTGTGATGTTGCGGGATTACAGTTGGAGATTATAAGAGTGAAGATATATTGGTGGAAATAACAGTTATTGGTATGACTGAATTGTTGTAAGGAAGAGATTGATAAGGTGAAAGGAGAGATTATAGTTTCTTTGTGTGCTAAGACAATGGAAATAGAAACGATACATTTGAAGTAATTAATTGTGTGACCCTAACGTGAACGCTTAAGCAATTAGTCACTCCTTGTGTTCGAATTCCCCTATACAGGGTTATTCTGAGAGGTTTCTTTTGGAATAAGTAAAACGATCAACCACAGAGGGTAATCCGCAACTTCTAAAATGCTAGTACACTTCCAAGCAGAGGGGTAATCCACACTCTAACAAAGAAGAAACTAACTCTGATATCTGAGGTGAGTGAAGTCTCGATAAACTGTCACGGACACAGAAATATAGACTCGAGATCTAACAAGTAGTTCAAGAAGAATTGGCAAGAACTAGATTAATCACATGAATACAAGAAGAACACCAGAGAAGTGAGCTAGAGCTCCAAGAGATGTGTTGTCGAGACTGAAGAACTCTTCAGGCTCGATTCCAATATATACTCCTATTTAGGAAGCTTCTCAAGCAACTTCTACCAATTAGGAAGCTTCTAGAAGGTTTTAGAGACTTGTTTGTAGAAGGTTCTAGAAACTTGTCTCTAGAAGGTTCTAAGGACTCTGTCCCTAACATGATGGCACATTCAAGCATTGTTGCAAATGACTTATATGGATTTATTTGTAGAAGAAATGAAGAATTGTTGATATTATTTGTTCAAATGGGGTTGAGAATATTTAATGTGTGGGCACTTATATTTTAGTGGATTGGGTAGAATTTCCAAATCCTTTGTAGCAATCATTATCAAGAGTGAAGAAGATAGCAAAGATGGAGCAAAAATATGATACAAATGTACATCCAAGAGAGGAAGAGAATATGCCTTATGCGACTGATTCTATTGTACAAGTGATCGAAGGAGCATCCACTTCAAATTAGAAGATAACATGCGACTAACTACAGAGATGTGTGACGTCTCACGCACACCAAAATATTGCTTCTCTACTTGTTGAAAGATTCAAATCATATATTGTATAATGCTACCATTTTTTATCTAGAGCATATGGCATAAAGTCTATGTTCTTTCATACTCATTCTTCCAATGCACAAAAAAAAAATTCTTCAAAGGAAGTTTAATAATCATAAGAACATGTTACTATGATTTTATTACAATGCTTGAAGAATGTGCATTCATTAAATAGTCATGCAACATTTCCGCAAGATATCAAATAGTTCTTTAGTAGATAATTGTTACTGAAAAATCTCCAACATCAAGAGTAGTACCAGCCCATGCAAGGCTCTCCAATCGGCTCCAAGTATTCACAAAAATGCAACATTAATAGCACACCAATCCATGCAGGGATCTCTGATTGGATCCGAGGGCATATGAGCCAAGTACAAAATAATAAATGTGAATCATATATGAATCAACAAAGCAAATATTCACTTGGATCAACAATGCAAAAAACAAAACAAAACAAAAACAAAAAACAAAAAACTTCACTATTTGAAGCAATGTTGCCTCAAAATAAAATATATATATATATATATATATATATATATATATATATCACATGGATCAACAATTGAAATTCTCTCCACATTTTTCTTCTATTATGCCAAGACCTTGATTTTGTGGATTAAGAAGTTGTTATTGGATATCAACAACTTAGTTCTTCAAAATACTCAATTTCCAACACTTTGTGTTTCCTAAGTTCTTAAATTTTTCTTTTCAATAGCCAATTAGAATGCATCTTTGACTCTTTATCTTGTACCTAAATTTTTTATATAATAGATATTCATAAAGTAATTATGTAATTATCATATATCAATTGAAGTCAAATTTGAGGTATTATTTTTTAAAAAATAAATCATACATTTTATATTTATTGCCATAAGATAAAATTTGGTGTCGTTTTTTATTGATACAAATATCATTGTAATATTATTTACTTATCATATTACAAACATTAAGTTTTAGTTTAAATTAAAAACCATTAGGTAATAAAAAGCACTTTGTCAAGTCAAACACATGATTAAATATTCTAAAAGATTATTGAATATTATAGATTTATATCAAAAATATATAAGTTTTAAAAATATCTATCTCAAAAATATTAGATATTGTAGAAGTATTCATTTGAAAAGAATTTGTAATATCACTTAACAAGTCATAAGTGCCATCATGATTCTTAGTCAATATATAAGTATAACTTGTTATACCATCTACTATAATAACAAAATAAACAATAATAAATCAATTAGTCATGAAAAAAATTATTAATTATTAATGCATCATTATTTATGAATTTTTTTCTTTTTGCATTATAAAAAACTTTCAATTGCTCCAATAATATTGTTATCATAGTTGAAATATTTTTTTATGGATACAAATAAAAACAAGATGAAAAAGTCATGTATGATTGTCATTTAGTTTGAAATGTATACATTGATATATACACATATGTGTACATATATTTAAATATTTATATATATGAGGTTCTTAAAGCCACACTCCAATGTTGTTAAAGCCACACCCCTCCATACCATTTCATGATTGATTCTATTCATCTTCCATCTCTGTCTCCCATTCCCAATCCCATGTCATCCATTCCAAATCCTCTTCCCCTCCCTTCCCCCCTCTCCATCTCAGTCTCCTATTTCCAATCCTATGTCTTCGTTTCTTTCCTTTGTTCCATGTTCCCCGTTCCAAATCCCCTCCCCTATGTCTATTCCCATCTCTCATTCTTTGTGCCTCGTCCCCAGTTTTCTCTCTTATTCCTTGTCCTCTATCCATTCCAAACTTATAAAAAGAAGAATTTTTAAGCTTTTATAGCTTATGACATAAATTATCTCTATTCCATTAGTATATTGAAAATGTCTAATTGTTAAAATTTTGACCATATTCAAATTTCGTGTCAATGTATTAGTGTGTCATTCAACCAACACCAACAAAAACTAGTTTATATTTGCATTTCAACTATTGAAGTAAAATAAATTAAACTGTATGTTCATACATGTGTATATATATATACACATATACACACAAGAGACTACAAATGGACAAATTCAATCATGAAATGGCAAGGAGGTGTGGCTTTAACAACATTGAGTTGTATCTTTAACACTTTTCTCTCTCTCTGTATATATATATATACAATATAAATGTTTTATTTTCCCTCTCTGCACCAAGTTAATTAAATTAAAAGTTTGTAAACAGTTTTACAATTTTACACTTGCATAATCTTGCATCCACAATGAATATCTCTTACGGTTAGAAGACTAATGTTCTGGTTATACACTAATAAACCACTAATAAACTAATTGACTGGAAAAGCGGCGATCCTAAAAAAATCCAAAAAAGAATGTACTCCACACATTTTAAAGCGAAGGATGTGTTTATTATAACCACAATAACCAACCTTGACCCACTGTTTAGAATACTCAAACCATATTTTAAACAATAATAAATAATCCTAAACAATATAAAATTTCAAAATCAAAAGCAATGAATTTCACTTTTGCAAATGCAGTGTACAATAGAGCATCTATAATTATTGTTTATATTGATAAAGATAATACAACTGCACACTTGAGATGTGGACTTAGGCAACTGTAATTTTTGTTTATGCACTAAATGAATTCTTATTACCGACCATATATCTTATACAACATTTGGAATTGTTCAACATGGGCTAAGACAAAGATGGTGCATTGCTAACCATCAATATCATGAAAAGAATAAAGGGTCGAATAGTAGCGCTGCCTGGCTACCACTGATTCTTCGACCTTAGACATCACTGCCCCAGCTTGTCATTCAATACACCTGTTCATCTTTCCCAGGAAAGACTCAGCGACGGAAACTTCCTCCAGGCCGCTGATTGATCCCATTGTTGAGATTCAACCTACTCTTCGCCATAGAAGCTTGTCTACTTGCCGCATTACTGGTAAGATTACACATGTGAGTTGAAAATGTATGGAAAATTCAGAACTGATTCACAGAACGTTGGCATGCTGCAAAATATTCCAAAGAATACCACAAGCAATTTTTTAAAATAAAAAAAATAAAAGGGGGATCCAGATGTACAGATACACCTTATTATCAACCCAGAGCACCAGATGATCATGTAGAATTTGATCAATTACCTTTTGGCGAATTCCATTCTAGCCTTTTGCATCAGTCTGCCCTTGGCAGGAGCCTTTGACGACGGTCCAGAGCTTCCTGTCAAGACACAAGACAAACGTTTGAATCATGGGATATTGCAATATTGAACTTTTATCATTGACATTTCGTGGGTCAATCATTCAAGCAATCAAAATTTATGATTGCAATCAATCGCTTACAAGACGAAAGATGAAAATATAGCTTACCTCCGGGACCCGTCCTCTTTATTCGCTTGCTCTCGGGCGGTTTCAAATCAATGGGCACAATTTGCTTCCTCTCTTTCTCTGTTAAAAATCAACAAATCATATTACAGAAGAAATAAAAGAACAAAACAAAACAAAAAAAAACAAAATAAACAAGATCGCCTCATAGCATTTGACCATGAAAATGAAAGTGAGAAGTTTTCACATCAAAGGCAGTTGTAACTAAATAATTGTAATGAATCATTTCAGCTATTGTTGTCACACTAACTATAACAGAATATTACACCATCTATTATAGATTAAGACCTTCGGGTATGAATCATTGCTCCGTGATTTCTGTGAAATTCAACAAAACATTGAGTAATGAGAGACTTACGGCTGTTTTGCTCCTTGTATAGCTCTCGTAGGCGACTAACACCTTTCCTCTGAATTTCATCCTGCTCTCGACATTTAGCCTGCATGAAACAAACCACATCAACTAGGGTTCGAGAGGCAACAACATCCTACAATTGTAATAAAATGTTTTCTATACTTCTGTCAGGGTGAAGAATCTCCTCACCATAAGGAATTTACGTGGAATACCAAAAGTAGACCGATGTAGAAAGATTTAGTTCATGAATTAAATGTTAAAACCATTCCGCTCTATATTCGTAGCTTTGGATGAAAACTGACCTGATATAACTGCCTCCATTTGAATTTACATTTACGATCGGACATCCGCTCCTTCACCATCTCCACAGCATCATTTCCGAACTTACGCCCATAACACTTGCGCCACAGGTCGTCCGTAATAGGGCTCAAGTCTCTGCCCTGTGGAAGAGAAATAGAGGACATGGCCAGTCAAGACCTGACACAAGGCGCACTAAAAACTCCAAAGACCCAAGCTATATAACCACATCCACTCCAAAGAATATCATATGAAAACAGACTTTTGGTCAATCTAGTCCATACTAAAGATTAAAAAACAATCTAAACGTGTAAAAGAGTAGAATTTAGCACTACAACGTATACAAGCCTGTGAATATGCATACTAGTGGAAGTTCGGGTGGACACATTCAATTGAACCCATTGAGAGCCTAGAAGCATCAAAATTTGGGGGAATAGTTGCAGGAAAAAAAACCTTCGTTGACGATTCAATATGATTGAGCTGCTCCGCATTGCAATGAGGCAAAATCCTCTTCAACAACTGAATGTCGGTCTCACCAACATCGGAAATATATTGTAAATTGTCGATCGCACTCCGAACACAAAGCTCCAGTAAACTCACCACCATGATTCGTTGCTCAATGACCCACAGGAAAGAAAATAAAAAACCTGAAAATTGCAGACAGTCAAAAAAAAACTGAAATAAGAGGTCACCCATCCCAGTCAATTTTCAATTCAACTGGTCCCATAATACAGATTAAGAAAAGAAATGAAAAAGGTCAACAATCATTGACTTAAACTGACGGCATAGACAATGGCTTTGGTGACCAATTATGGCCCAATAGTCCGGCAAGAGTCACCTGAGCTCGACAATTACTTTCACATCCGTTTCACTCTCGACTTCGGCTCCCAAAAAAACAGAAAAACTAACGCGTATTAACGCAACTTCTTCACCGACCCACAATCGGACATTGTTCTCATGACCAGATCCGGCTGCTAATCCACACAGTCGGTGTTGGGGCAACGAATTTCACCCACAGATGCTCGCAACCAACTCCAGGGAAAGGGCTTGACGAACCCAAACAGAGCAATTAGGGAATCAAAACCCAACCCAGAGTTCAAACCCTCACCTCGATGTCCGAAAGCAGGAATCCGACAGAAGGCAGGCTTGGTGAGAATCCACCGCTGCAGAGGCTCATTGCACCAAGACACGGGATCTTCCTCCTCCTCCTCCTCTACAGTGAGTCACGCCTCTCGCCATAGCTCACTCTCTCTCGACCCGGGGAGCAAGAGGTGCCCAGGCCCCTCTATATAGTGCAGCTTGCAGCTTTGCCAGCGAGGAGAAAGAAGCTCCCTCACTGCTATCGGAGGCCCGGTGCCTCTTTCCGCCGGTTAATAGGAACCCCCGGGACCCTGGGAAATGTCGGGTCAGTGGAACCCCTCGTACGGGGTGAGGATTACGTGTTCTCGTCATTGAGAACTTCAAGAGAGGAAACGAATGAGTGTGGATGGTGAAATATATTTATTGCGGTGGGAAATGATGCTTACTGCAGAATCGACAATAAAAATAGATAAATAAATAAATTCAAATCCGAGTAATAAATATAAAATTATTTATTATTTTTTTATTATTTTTATTTTTATTAATCACATCAATAAAAAAATATATTTTGGTTTGTTATTATTATTAATCACATAAATAAAAATTTAAATATCCTTAGATTTTGAATCATTAATTAAATATTATCAGTAATTTTTCTACAGTTTGTTTTGTTTTGTGATCAAATGCCATCTTTAGTGGAAGAATATCAAGTTGAATGTTGAACAATCGAATAGAACTACTAATTTTTGCAATGTGTTCTAATGTTAAGTTAAATTATTGCTTTTTTTGAATAATGCGTGATTAAAAGTAAATGTGAAATTTCAACTTAAGTTTAATATAACAGCAATTCTTTGGAATGATTAGAAAGATTGGAATTTAAATGAAGTGTAATTAACTTATGAATTTCAAGCTGTATGAAAATAACTGTCAAGAAATTGCTTGATTACACGGTATTCTGTTCATATATATATATATATATATATATATATCTACACATACATACATATATAATGGAAAATTAAAATGTTCAAAATTCTAATTGCAAGAAGGCCCAGTGATTTTACAGCTCAGTTTAAGCAATGAAACAACTATGACTGTTGATATTATCATAAATATTAGTTGAATCTTTTTTATTTACTTATTAAAATTAATCTTCATTGTTACAGTGCTAAGTGTATATATTTTTCTGTCCCTGTGTTATTGCATATATAATTAATTGTGTGAAGGAGGGAATATGTGAATGTCTTTATGTGACTATGAAGGCAAGTGGTGTTCAGGATCTTGGGTTCAATCATAGAGAAGAATGCAAGTTCAAACTCCATTGCCATTACAAAAATCATCAAAGTTCTCAATTGTTACATTATCATATATAAAGTAATATTTGTGCTTCATCACATAGAATATAAAACACTTGATCATTATTTTTCCCTCTACGTTATCATAAACTTGTCAATATTTAATTCTTAAGTACACAATATCTACAAATACACCACAAACTCAAAACCATAAGATTTGCATTGTTGCCATTGTTTGTTTAACTGTTTCATTCATGTCTACAGTCTAATTATTCAAATTTTTACTGCATGTTTTTACTTTATTTTATTTTTTCAATAGTTGGGTTGTGCTATCAAAATATGCCTGTATAAATCTTAGTTCCTTTGTTTCTGTTGTAATTCATTGTTATATTGTACACAGCTTGCTTTTTAGCTACTTTGGAAGTTGGGAGTAATATGTCAAAGCCAGTCACTGATGTGTATAATAATGTACAATAATGATAGTCCCGAAGAATCTACAATAATATTCCCGAAGAATCTAGCGTTGCTGTCGATGAAGCTTCAGACCGGCAAACTCGTCACGCGTAGCCGCGACGCGGGCATCGCACTCGGCGATTCACAAAAGCATCACGCAACCCGAAGCTTATTTACAGACGCTGGATTCATGCTTACGGGACACATGTATATGTATATATATATATATATATATATATATATACAACCCACTTCCAGCCACACACACACATAGCTGCAGTCCAGTGACTCTAGATTTGTGTGAGCCGGGAATCGTTGTCGATGGAGATGGTGATGCAGGAAAGAACCTTCACATCCCTTGGCCAGTTTGCGATGAAGCCAGTGATGTCTAGCTTGCTCGAATCCATCTCTTTGCGTCCGATGATGCTTCTGCCATTCGCACACATGAAACGAGGGCATGTAACGTAAAGGAGATGAACTGGGGAGAGGCAACAGCTGCAGAAGTAGAAGTTTTGTTGCAGAGGGTAGTGCAAGCTCAGAATTCGCCCACATCTAAATTTCATAATTGTTGCAGCAAGACTTGTCGCTAGAGTCCTGGAATCAAAGCTTTTGGATGTAGACATGCACGTCAATTTAACTGGAGGTCTACGCTGGATATCTACAAAACTACACAGGTTTTGAGGATTGTCATTAGGATGAGTTTTCATCCATTTCTTTCTTCGCGACCTTCAAGCGTTGATGCATATGTCCGTAGATTGAGTGTGGCAACTCTGCTTTCCTAGTCGTCATGCTGTAGTTTTCACCCGGAACCCTCGTATAACCCATCAACGTCCCTGTAACGCTATCCTTCACGCATGTGTGGAGTCAGGTTAAAACACTTGGTGTTTACTTCAATTGGGCCTAAGCGCCTGAGTTCGTATCCATGACCTCGGTGGTCCTCACCAACGCACCCAACCTTTTGAAAAGTAAAGACTAGAGTTATAGATCGTTAAAGTAACCAATAATTATCTTCGTGTGAGCAGAGATTGTGCATCAATTGAAGTATCGGAATAAAATACAAATCTACACAACCTACTTTTCCTTCGTGAGAACTGGTATTTACAGAGATTGAAGTTACTTTGTAACACCTGATGAGCAAACAAGGTGGTGAGGAGGCTGCAGAAGTAAAGAATACGAAGAATAATATCGAATCACTAGTTGAAAGCAGACTCTGAAGTAATCGATAACATGCACTCCACTCAAGTTGGAAATTATGGTTTCGTCTTTCATTTTTAAAAATAGTACTGCCATATCTGTCAGAGAAGGTGATCGTACATTAACATGTACGGTACACCTGAGCAACAGATCAATGCATCACGTTTCGATGTCTCGAAGTATCATCCACACCGAAGGACATCTCTTCCGAAGGTAAAGAGGAAAGAGCATCGTACATCAGAAGTTGAAAATACATGTACATTCCTCAACTCTTTAACTTTCTCCAAATATCCCCTTGAGCTTCAATCCATCGTTCCTCACGTATCCTAGGGCCCTTTCAATTGTATCAATTTCAGTTGACGTTTTGTCGGGTCCTTGACCAGATGGCAACCCAAGGATGACTAGAGGGAACTGGGGTACACATACAGGACGAGTGTGGGAAATATGGGCCTCGGCTATCTGACATTTTGACATCTCCTTGCAGCTTGTGCTAAATCGATGATCACAGTCAGGTTCTAGACATTCTTCTAAGCTCGGCCATGAGCGATTCTGTGACTAGGCACTCCGTGCCCGTTTGGGTTTCTGAGCTCCGTTAGTGTGGATCTTTCGAACCTGGTATTGACGTGACAGGTGGTAGGAATACAACTTGCGATGAAGACTTGCGGGAGCAACATTACATGTATATTTGCAAGTGGTACTGGTGTAAGTCAAGACTGTACGTTGTTAACTTTACGAGTTTGGCCACTGACTTCGTTTGGTAATCCCTTCGGTCACCGAATCATGAAAACAGAAATATTCGGTGAAAAAATGATGACTACAGTGAGTGTTCACAAGCAGAATGACATGCAGCCTTGAAATTTCAAAACAAGTTCCAGTTTATGTCGAGACATATTCACCGCGAAGCCAGCTCATCTTCGGGAATTAAACGTCATCAAATTAGTTCCTGCACAAACCTACTACTTGCAAATTGATGGACAAAGGAAGGTTCATGCCTCGTGCCATCTCCGCTTTATACACTGGCTTGTTGCACTGTAGTACAACATGCCTTTGTATAAAGCAGAGATGTCAATGAAGTACAATAGAAGAGGAAACAAGTACTGGGCTTTCGGGGATTGTAGACAAAGCAATTGGAGCCACTAGAGAATAGATGGTCTACTATGAGTCTGCAGCAGTGGCGTCTCTGAAGTCCATTTCAAACCTTATTTCCAAGACTGCCCAACTTCAACTCCTTGCCATAACGGCCTACAGACTCCGGCCTTGTTCTTCATTGAGTGTATCCAATAATTTGGGTGCGAGCAAGACTCTCATGTCATAAACTCCCAATCTTCACACAGCACCCAAACGATCACATGCTTTAACAACCGTGTTCCTGGTGACCTCGTTTGGCTGAACCCCTTCTCGTTTCATCTGCTCGAACAAGTCCAGTGCCTCCTCAGCACGATCATTGCGAGAATACGCAGCAATGAGCGCAGTCCAAGAAATGACATTCCTTGTGCATAGATTATCAAACACCTTTCGAGCATCCACCAAACTACGGCATTTGCTGTAGGCGTTTATAAGAGCCGTACCTACTTTTTCATCTGAATCTAACCCTGCACATCGAATATGGTTGTGCAACCATTTTCCCTTCTGCAAAAATTCAGGCCTTGTACATGCCTTGAGCAAAGCAAGAAAAGTCATCTTATTGGGTTGCAGGCCGGTGTCTCGCATTGCTTGAAATAGTGCGAAAGCTTCCTCACCGTGATCCGTCTGAGCGTATCCAGCAATCATCGTCGTCCACAGCCCTATATCTTTTCTGGGAAGTTTGTTAAACATTTTCCGAGCATCCAGCAAACTCTCACACCTACAATACATGTTGACAAGGGCTGTCTGAACACGAACGCTAAGCTCAAACCCTGATTCAATGATGGCCTTGTGAAGCTGTTTTCCATCATCCAAGTGAACTGATCCATTGCACGACTTCAGGATACTCAGAAAACTGGCCACATCTGGCGCGAGACCCGCAATTTTCATGTCCTTGAACATTTCTAAAGCCTTGTCACGAAGACCAGCCTGGCAGTAGCCCTCGATCATGGCATTCCATACAATAATGTCCCGGTTCTGAACTCTTTTAAAAACTCGATGTGCATCTAGAGCGCTACCACATCTAAAATACATGCAAGTAAGAGCGGTCCCAACACGCACATCTGACTCCAACTGTCTTTCGAGGATAAAGTTGTGCACGCGCCTGCCACTTTCAAGGTCTCCAGGACCCCTAAATGCTTTCAAGAGGCTCAAGAATGTTACCCGGTTAGGGCGCACGTGCTCATCCTGCATCCGGAAAAAAAATGCAAGGGCCTCCCCACGGCGGCCTTGTTGCGCTAACCTTGAAATTGCAGCGTTGCAGGAAATCAAATTCCAAGTACCTCTAGGTGCACGCTGTTGCTCCTTACGATCTCGAACCACGTTCAAACCAACTGAATTGGATGTACTACTTGAACGGCTCGCACTACGGAATTTCTCATCGAACTCCTTGCCCAATCCACCACGATCCTGAATAATCTCGCCGAAATCAGCTATCCCCGTGACATACCTAACACCCAGAAACTTGCAATTACGACTATCTCTGTTCTGGAGAACCGCGAAGTCCAAACACCCTCCACTGTCCCGAGATGTCACAAGCCTCGACGAGAAGCGATTCTCCAAAGATACGCAAGAACTTCGAAGTCGCCCCAGAAGCAATAGCAGCTTGCGCATTGCACCCAACCTAATTGCAAAAACTTTCGCAACCCTCACCGTTGAATACAACCAACAAATCGCGACATCAGCGGTGTTTCAAGTGATATAATATCCTAATATTCATTTAGTTCAAGGACCAATACTTCGCACCATCTTGAACCATTCTGATGCATGAGGCAAACTTCAACGAAGTACTCCAAACCCTAATTTCCAACGGATGATGAGAAAAAAAAGGAAAACTACCAACAGTGTAAGATGGAAAAGCAACGGTAGCTGCACACGATCGCTTTCTCTTCAGGTTGTTATTTTTTGATACAGCCTTAACTTCGATGAAATCTAGACGATTGAAACTATTCTTTTAGGTCTTCGTTCTAAGATGGATGAAGAATCGACCACAGGAGTGAGGTTTAATCACTGTTTCTGTGCCCCGCTGCTGCTGGTCAGACCCTTTTTTTCTAGAGCTTTCTTGCTCTCACAGTAGCCGCAGCCGCAGCCGCACCAGTGAAGCATACTCGTTTGTTTTCTTTACAGAGGCGTCTCTATACCTCAATTGCCTTCACTTCTTTGCGTGAATAGTTCTCAGGACGCTCTGGGTTCCCTAAGTGGGTTTGAGGGAAGTTGAACCGTGAGGTCGGTCGTATCTCGAAGTTCGCAGAGATGGGCAAGTCAATCAGGTCGAAGAGGTTGAAGCGGCTGAGGACGCTCAAACGGGAACTCGTGACGCCTCACTATGATGAGAAAGATGCTGCCAAGCAAGCGATCATGGAAGCTGCCTTGGCGGCGCCGAAGCTTGAGCTTCCGAAGAAGCGGTCTCGTGAAGAAACCATGGGTGAGTTTTCCCTTTCAACTAAGATTTGGTGGATATGAATGATGAAACTGGGTTGATGGTAGTGCGTTCCTAATCAGGTGTAATCAAGTTCAGAGAACGGTTAAGGAGTTTAGGGTGAAGTTTTTTGGATGTCTCTTAGATTGAACTTGTTGTAGTTCTATAGTTGGTACGCTTTCAGATGCTCGTCTCATGGCATTCTTGTATGGTTCCGGCGATACAATTTTGCAATATGGGGGTTTCTTGAGAAGTAGCCGGGCACAGATGTGGTGTTTCGATGGATTAACTTGTACTTTTTGTCTTGGTGAAAAGTGGGTTAAATTTCAGTGGGCATTTCGCATACGGTAACGTCGTTGAATTGTCTGTTTGTTTTTGTAAGTATAGTACGTGGCAGCCCAGTTCTAGTCTTTGTGAAGTTGTATCACTGCATTGATTCTCTATGTGCTTGTAACTTACGAGCGGATGCTTTCTTTTCGGTCGCAGAAGTTGAGGAACCAACTCGAGGAAGGGAAGGGCAGTCCTCTACCTCTATGGCCGTGGACGAGGCCGGTCCCAGCAATGGCGGCAACGATTCGAAGAGATTGAAGGTTCGAGGTGGCATCAAGAAGAGAGGAAAGAGTCAAGGGCGCTTGAAAAAGGAAAGACATCACAAGAAGAAATTGCAATTTTAGAGTGGCTCACAGGAATCTTAGGTTTGCTGTTTAGGGTTCTGGCGGGTTGTGTCGGCAACAAAGGGCTATAAGAACTGTTTTCCCAGCCTCCACGAAATTTAGGGGTCCTGGACCTGAGGGGTGAAGTGTCGACAGTCTTGCTGTGATGGATATCTTTCCCTCAATTTCTCTCGATTAGACTTCATCCTGATATGCAACTGAAGATTAGGTGTTGGTGTAGGAGCATAATCACGCATTTTGTGCACTTGTGCTGGTTCTGCTCATACATGAATTGACGATCGTCCTTGTTTAAATCCTGAGGTTTATCTTCATCGGATTCAATACAGAGACTCTGATGTACAATTTCTGTTTGGGAGCTCCATCTTGTGACGCCGCACTTTAAAAAAGAAAGCACACGAACTAGTCTTGTCTCTTTCACATCGGTTTCATCTGGGGCAGTTGGAAGAACTGAAAGTTCGTAAACTCCTTGATTTTATGTAACTGAATGTCTGAGTTCGAACAAGTACATTTTAAGACTTGCCGATCCTCTGGTAGAACGCCGTCGACTTGAACGTGGCGCCTATTTCAACTCTTTAGACTACTTTTAAGTAGCATGTGCAACGAATGCACTTAATGGACAGGAATTGTATTTGATCTCTTGAACTAGCCTTATTGCAAAAGTGTGTGATATCTCTGAAACTGTTTCTATGCATCAGTATCACTTGGTATGGATCATTTGCGGATAGCCTGGCTTGTACAAGGTAGAATGAGGAGCTCTTTCCATTTACTATTCAACCCTTTGAATTTGTTCCTCATGTTTCAAGTTTGTTGTGTGTCTGAAATCAGGTCATCGAAAACAATGTACCAATCTGTTAATAACAATTTATGTCTAAGTGGGCGGTTTATTAAGATCAGGCAGTAGTGACCACATGAACCACTCTCTACTTTCCCAATGTTCTCAAGAAGCCCCTCGGCGTGATCATATAAATGTACCTATACATATCTATAGTACACCAATTTCTTTATCTTTTCTTCATCTTGACATTGGTTGTCGTCACATCAAATGGTTCCTGCCTAATCACACATCTTTCAAAAGAAGGTTTATTTTTTAGTTTTTAAATTCTTTCCTTCTCAAATGCTCACGAGTATCTCAAAGGAAAACCTCCACTGTCTGCAAACGATACTAGCTGTTTAGAACGAGTCTCTGTCAAAAACAAGAAACCTCGCAACTACAAAGCATGCCCCACAAGCACAAAGAACAAACGACGAAGAACATATAACGAGGCTCAGGATTAGGATCCATCGTCGAAACAACCAAGAAAGTCAACGACGGAGTCCACGAGGGCGGTATCGGTATTTGGGAGTGCATGAGAAGGTTGGAGGAGTGGATGATTGACTGGGTCCGCGACGCACCCAGAATGGGGAAGAACGCGTCGATGAAGGCATGACACCACCACTGACGAGACACACACGTTATAAATCTTCTCACTGTGGCAGAATGTTCAGGCAATCCACGGCGATGATCCATGTTGCTCGATGGAGCTGTTGCCATCACTGTGCTGGAATGCATGTTCTTCTCCACAGCTAGTACAACACGGTGTCGAAAACATCGTCATTGACTGTGTGTGAGTTTCTATCTACCTACAAGAGTTGCTGACGAAACATGGGCCAAAAGTCTACCCACGTGCCGATATTCATCCAGGTTCCCCCTACTGTTGAAGATGATTTACCAAGGGGGTCCTCTGGTGAACTCGTCGACCGATTGTTAATTGCAGGAAAAAGGCATTGCAGAAACCGTGTGGCAGAAGCATAGCTTGAGGTGCTTGTTGGAGAGGTAGTAGGCTGCATATCAATTTGCCTGCCTGCTTGCTGTTGTGCCAATCCTGCTCGTTGCCATAGTTTTGAGAATGTCTTGTTCAGTTTGATCCGGTGTAACCTTCCTACGTGGTGGACACGATGATCAGGATGGACACGATGGGGACACAGTTGGCTGCGTGGATGCGGAAGCGTGAGAAGGCCGCATACTCCGCGTGTCCCGAGGACGAGGCGTTTTTCAAGCGCTGCTCGATCAGAGTTACGGAGGATTGCGTGGAGATGAAGTTCGGAGACCTGACCTGGCAGTTCATTGGCATTATACGAAACGGACACTGGCGACAGTCTCGTCAGTCAAACGGCGGCGTGTTGCGATCTAACTGCCGATTGATTGATGTTTTTGGTCCCTACCCAAATTGCGAGATTGTGATCATCGGGCCTGATACTGGGAGGCAGGGAGTGAAGTTCCCGACGGCAGAGGGCACGTTCCGAGCTGGGCATCACCTGGTACAGAATTCGTGGCCCATCTGCTTCCCGTCGAAAGGGATACTGCCAATTGGGAGAGCCTAAAGGTGGTACAGGCAGCGCATGATTGTTTGTTTGAACCGTTTTTGAACGTCAGGGAGCAATTGAGCGCTGGAAAGGATTTACAGGATCTCCTGGATTGCATGTTCGAGTTCGGAAAGCAGGTGACAGAGCAGCGGCGGAAGCTTGTTGGTGCTGGTATTCTACAGCCCTGTGTAGACAGGATTGAAAGCTCCGATGCGTCTACGAGTTTGGCGAAGGAGGATAACCCCCCAAAACCCGTGAAGTGGGGATGGTCTCGAATCCTGCCCGATAACGATATGTTTGCGATGCATCAGGGGTCAAGTGCATTCAGTTCTTTAAATGTTACCTCAGTCTTCTCCACAGATGAGCCGTTCTTTAGAATAACTTAGCTCAGATGTAGGGGGGTTACATTTGGCGTTGTCAAAATTTAGGGTATTTGCACGACTTCAGTGATATTGTGAGGAAAATGAACAGGGTAATGTACAGTAAATTTCCCGATGCCTACTGGCGGCACCAGAGTCTAGAATTTCTTGGGGGAGAAAACAAGCGTCTAGAACACAAACCTCAGGCAAAATCAATGGTAAAGGGCGTAGTTTTCCACTAGGGTGACAAAAATTCGATGCCAGAAGGAGAAGTTGCAGAGGAAGTAGAGTAAGTTACAGATGTGTACAGAACCGAAGAGAATACTCGAGCTTCGAAACCAGCGAGAGATTGATTACGCAATGACTAGTTTGAATCTACGAAGCCCCTCAATTTGCACCACCTTGCTGACTGAACGCATCGATTCCGTTTCATGGAGCTGCTTCGGGAAGAAATCACTGTCGGTAACATTGATCCTGGCTAACTACAACCAAACAATGGGACTCAAGGTCACGATGTGTAGAATCACCTCTACAGATGCCGATACCTCAAGCTGAGTGTGCACTTGCTCACAAATCCAAGCATCGACGAGCAACTGTCTTGCAGCCTGTCCAATGAATCCATTGAGCCTCTAGCTCTAAGCAGACTGGATTGTTGTTTTTTTTTATTGAAAGATCACACTTCTTAGTGCGGATGATCGATGCCAATGCTTTTCCATATAATAAGATTATGAGCCAGTGAGCACCAAAAGAATCCACATAGGGTTGAAATTGAGAAAGATGTTTGGCATGTGTATTATAAATTAACAGATTGTTCTGATGCTTTGTCAGAACGAGAGATATGATAATCCTCTATAATTACTCCAAATCTCGTTGGAGTAATCCGCAGAACTGAGCTATCTCCGTGAAAATCTGCCTTCTTCCTGGGTTGGTTGATATCAAGCAACTTTAGCCAAATGCTCCTGTTACTTCAGGTTTCATTTTATAATAAAAAGATGAATCTTGTGTTTGTTTTATTACTTCTGGAGTATATATGATGAGATGAGCTATCTGTGGAAGTGAGTTGTCTTTTTTACTTTGTAACATGAATTGGTTTAATATGGATTTTATGTTTTGTTTTGTTCTGTTTGATTGAAAGATTTGGTTCTTTTGTCTTGTACATGTATATAGTTGTAAATTGTTTTACATATATTAAAGAATACTGTAGCCATGGCTATGAAGTTTCAATGGTAAGTTGTGATTTGAATTTTGTTGAGTTTCTTGAATACATGTATCTTGTAGTGTGTGAAAGGTTGGCACAAAGACAATCAAGTTCCAAATTGTTATTGAGGTTGGAAAATGTATAAAAGAGAAGAAAATCTTGCCAAAAATTAATGATATATCTATGTATGTTTAAGTATATGTAAACAATTATTTAAATAAATGATTCCAATTTTTCACAAGGAAAAATAATTTTAATATTACAATGAAGCAACAACCTTCTTGCTAATATGGAATTGAAATTGATTAAATTTTCAAATTGTTTCTTATAACTTGAAAATTTAATTCGCTTATTTTATTTATCTACTAGTTTAAAGATAAAAATCTAAAGTTAGTTTTATGTCTACTTTCAATATCTTAAAAAATATTCTTCAAAACTTTTATACAATTTGAATCTCTCTATTTAATAAAATATTCTTTAGCAATCCATAATATCAATAAATATTTTTTAGAATAAATTTATTTATTTTTTTATCTATAATAGTTTTTGTATAAAATAATAAATGTAATATCTTAGTGAAATAATCTATTATCACAAATAGAAAGATATAAAACTTGAAATTAAAAGCTTCATGATAATATCTATAGAAACAAAAGACTATTATTGTTCAAATATAAATAATTGTTGAAAAAAATTAGATGATCAATAACAAAGATCATATGATTTTACATAGTCTTTAATTCTTTTTTATGATTGAAGCCACTAAAAATCTATTGATATTACCTCTAAAATCTTATTGTATTCAATGTGTGTTGCCATTGGAAAATTGAGACAAGTTTGAAGAATATGTAATTGTGCTTTATTTTATGGAAAATATAAGCATCTTTGAAAATAGAAAAGATTGTTCTTGAATTCAAACTTAGAAGTATCATAAGATTTAGAAAGATTATTCTTAACATTATAAATAAGTGAATTTGAGGACATACTTGATTGAATTTGTTTGAAAAATATTAAATCAACAATTAATATTGATTTCATTATCTAAAAGTGAAAGTGCTCAAGTTTCAAAAGAATTATTTATTACACCAAAAGAAGAAATGTCTAGATAAGAATGTCTAAATAGATCATTTGATAGATATTTTTGTTTTTTAGTTAAGAAGTGATTTTTAATTCAAATCATAATAAAGATATACTCCAATCAACTTGATAACAATTTAAAGTATATGTTGATATTAAATATTCAAAATTCATGTGATTTGTATAAATAATCATTAAACTAGAAGTGCCTTTAAGATAGTCATGCCATTATTGAAATAAATCCATAATTATAGTAAGTTCTTTATTATGGATTTTTTTATTGATATTGATTGCTAAAATATTTCTTAAATGAAAAGTTATTAGGTGAATTATTTCATTTTTTTCTCATTTGTGGCAAAATGACACTCAAAGAAAGTTCAATGCATTTAATTCAATTAAAAATATCTTTAAAAGTCAAAACAATAAAAGATTGATTTTAT